CATTCAACTCATATCGAATTTCTCGGAACAAAAAGCTAAATGCGTTATTGAAAAATTTAAAGTTTTCAGCTGGAGAACCATCAGCTTTAGTGAGTGTTCCTTCAAAGTAAAGATAGCTTTGGGATGGTAAAGTGAAGGTATCCAATTCTTGAATAGCAATTCGGATTTCATCGTTATAATCAAAATTAGCATTAATGTACGGTTGATAGGTGTGATACTCCATTTCAGTAATGGAGGTGTCAAGTAATGGCTGTTCTGACACGTTCAAAATGCTCATGTTAGATCAATTGAAATCCCAACGACTTTAAAAACTGACGATTATCAATCGTTAGACGACTTCTATAATTTGGACGAGGTGACGGTACGTTGGTTGGTGGAGTACTAACAGTAGAAACTCTGCGAATCTTGTTTTAATAGGTTCGATCGGAAAGCACCGAATGTGCTATGTTGTATCTAATACCCATTACGTATTTTGCGCAAGTGTAAACGTATGGTAATGGTTTCGTTTCCCAAGTTTACAAGATCGTTGTTTTTATCAAGTACTTTAACAGTCAAGGTGTTGATCGTACTAACACTCACAGGAAAATAAATTATGTTTTGCGGTGCTTCCACTATTCTATACCCAGCCGGAACAGTTGGAAAAAATTGATGGATGATGTGACTGGGTTGTCCATTTCTGAAAAAACCTGCAACTATGCTACACTCGATACAGAGCGCATTTACTTTTAATATTTCTATTGCGAAATCGGACTCATGCAGTATATTTTTTTGCAAAATTCGGGGTTCAAAGCCCAACATACAACTATCTGCATTTGCAATCCAGTTGAATACTTCGTCTTGTACTGTAATTTCCTCCAGTACAAAACTTACCACTGGAAATTCTCGTTTTTCTGGATTTTGAGACACAAACTGTCGGAGCTGTTTTTTCAACACCTCTTCAGTTACATGACATAATTGCATGAACAGTGAATATTATGTCTTGGTACTCATCTTTAAAACTGAAGAAGGTGAGTCGGTAAAACATATATTTATATTCTTGTCCCCACCAAAAAGCACTAATTTCTGATCATTTCATCTGATCACTAGTCAACTCACTGGCTTCGTTCATTAAGCGCAGCAAGAGGTCCAACCGCTCTCCGTCCGACATGTTATGAAAGGTGATACCTTGATGACCCCAAGCTAATGTATTTGTTGAGTTTGGTATCAAGAAACGTTTATCATCCATACTGGTTAATGTCACTTTTCTTATATAATTTGTATATATATTGTGCGACTCTGATTTAAATACACATATGTCCGTTTCTCCTCAACAATATCCTTATAATGTAACAAATGTAATTGATGTTTCACACTCGCCTTAGATATACCTTTGGCTCGTTTAGCCACTTGATCTACAGCATCGATACAGTATGCTTTGGGACGTGTACCATAAAAGGCAGACAGTACCTTGCCACCATATTCGTCTTTCATCTTACCCAACTCTGACGCTGTTCGAGGCATGTTATGTGGGTTGTCAGCATCATAATTGGATGTGTCAAAGTGATGCATGTGTGATTTCATGTCTTCATAGAAATTATCGGCTTCAACATGTACTATTAACGAATCAGTGTCCGTGTATGCTAACGACACCTTATCACTATTTTGGTGCTTTAGAAAATTATAGAAAAAGTCATATATTACCGTTTTTGAGACATCTAAAATACAAAATCCAACATATGTGGGACGGCAATAATCAATCATTGTTTTTTTCATTTGAATAGCTACTAAGTTTTTAGAAAATATTCTGTGTTCTTTAAAAGTTGGTTTACTAATATAATTTTCAGCACCTATTTTGTGTTTCGATTTTTCAAATTGAGTCGCTAATTTGATATCGACTATGTTCTCCATATTTTCAATCGTTTTGCCAAATATACAACTGATCATTAGTTTGAACAAATCTCTTTCAAACGGATTCAGTGCTGCATTTCTAAGTGCTGTGTTTAACAGTATATAGGACTTTAACCACGCCGCTTGTGTGAATTTGATACCTGTATGAATTTTCGTCAAGATAATACCATGTTTCAAACATATTTTTAGATTACGATAATGGATAATGTAGCGCTCTTTGTTGTGTAAATTTGGAATTAATTTTGAGCTTGAGGTTGGGTGGTTTAAAATTTTCTGGACAAAATGGTAAATCATTGAAATAATCATGAAGCTCATTCGGTATTGTTAAATCAACTTCTAATGCATATCCAATATCCGATGTATCTGGAATTTGTGTAATTGTTTGTTGAATCCTATCCATCTCATGTTGTCTTAACCAAGCAAAATGACCCGTCGGTAGGTACTGCTGCATAGTACATCCATACAAATTCGTTGCATCAAGGTACATTAAGTACGATCATGCCTTTGATGGATCGTAATGAGGTAAACATTTATTGTTCGCCTGGACTTTCCGTGAGGTACATGTGCTGATTCCTCCGCGGATCCCCTTTTTAAATAAATGTACCATATCCACATCTGTAAGCAGCTCTAACACTACTTTAGTATATCGTAGCATTGCATCCCAACTCAAACCAGGGGCTGAATCCAGCTTGTACGTTTTTAAACACAAATCTCTAAAATTTTCAAAGATATCTGTTAAAAGAAGAACATCCGAAGTCAAGTAAAAGTCCGAGTATTCCCCCAAATTTTTACACCCCATTACTTCCCAAACATGATGTGCCCGCTCATAATCCTCGTCTGCAATGTGTTCATCACGTATTTCGTCCTAAAAGTCTTGTTGGGATGGTAAACATGTTTCATTGTATTTATCAAATGTTTTAAGATAGCTATAGGGAAATATACCTTTACATCTCATGCAGGAGAATCTTTCGTCCTCGGGAAACACTTTTCGTACTGTCCGACATTGCTCTGCGCTTAAAAAGGATGCCAATGTTTCTAATTTTGACGAAAGAAACTGGCAAATCTCAGTTACAAAAATACGGTTTTTTGTTTTCCTTCTTGGGAAATGTACGTGTCTACCGGTACTAATTTCGTAAATGCAACATATCTTTCAAAGGATTGTGGAATCACTTTAATTTGTTCTTGATTCATAGCTAAGTGTTTTATGAATAGATAAGAGTCATAGTTCTTCAGATTGTGGAAAAATATTGGAATATAGTTCGGAGTCTTATAATTGATTGGATTTACTATGCGCCGCACCACGATATTTCCCTGTGAAATGACGGTGATCCCTAACTTTTATATTTGTATTGGTGATTCGTTGTTCACAAATGAAACATGACTCTTCTTTATTAAACGAAGCTTTATCGTAAGTAGTCATTTTCATTTGTACATTTTGTGTTAAATATTGATAATATATTAATTTAAGATCAGCCACTAATCGAGCATCAAAAATTTGTGCTGCATCCTCACCCCTATATAGTTCTAATTTGGATAGTGAATCATTAAATGAGCGTTTGATGTAATAAGCAAATGAGGATGGTTTATGTTCATACTTTCTGATGGTACATACCTCCTCTGAATCGCTTGAGTCATTTTCTATCGGAGCTAGAATGCATCCAAAGTCGGCATAAACGCAAAATGGTAGCCTTAATTGTTTGTGATGCTGTTCAAATTTTAGTAGATTATCCATTACCGTGTTTCCAAGTCGATCAACTCTCGTTTCCAATTTTGGGAGCTCAACTGCAATAGGTTCGCATGTGAATTTCTAATTTTTCTTTTGAGGCAAGGTATTGTAAACACCCATCACAAAAGTGCTTTACTCTCGTATTCCGCGACATCTGACTTGAAACGAGTCTTGAAAAGTTGGTAATTAAGCAGTTATGATGGTTTCCTTCTGAATCATCAATAAGTAATAAGTTCAGATGAGTATATTGTTTTTGCGCGGTGTAATGTAACGGTCCCACCACCTGATTTTTAGGCTTCCAATCAATGAATTCCTTTTCTAATCCATAAACGTTGATTGATATGTTATTCACGCTTTCAAATTCTGATATTGACTTGGAAATGTCATTCCAGCAAAGTTTAAGCCCGGAACATTCGAAAAATGTGGATATGACGTTGTTAGTGCTGATCGACCTTTTGGTTTTATCATACGAGCTACAATTGACCATACAAAGCAGTACTCAGCCTTATTACGTATATTGAGTACAGCTTTTTTGTTCCTAATTTCCTTTGGAAGCGGCAAATATGAAGCTGCTCTCAAAGGATTATATTTATTAATATTAATTTCTAAATATAAAATCTTTTCTAACACCCACCCTGAGTCTTTTTCTGAAAAATCTTTAGATTTCTGATCTATTTTACTGCCCAAATCATGATAGATTGCTTTTAAATTTGATGATTGTGTTATGGTTACATTGTTTGTATTGTGGGACTTGACCTCTCGTCGGCTTTTAGCTGGTAAGATATATAAACCAAAAAGTTCCATATTTATTTTGAGCGTTGTTTGCTTATGCAATTCATTTTCAATCACGTTTATGGAGTCATGTTCGAGATTATTCATATATTCAGTAACGTTCAAAGTGTCTATACTAGCGGTTATTTGATAACTGACTATTCTACCCTGAAATGCACTTCGACATACTGACACATTATTGTGTAAAGGTGTCCATAGATGTGCCTTACGTTTGATGCTTTTCAGATGTGCTGCATGTGCATTCCTCGGTACCTCACAGTTGCAACTATCACAGCGAATTGTTCTGCTTTCCGCACTCGTCTGTGAGTCGTTGCTGGTGGTTGGACTCAATCGATTCGGTCCCGGTACTGCAACGTTGGCTGTTGAAGGATCCAGTCGTCTGGTTTTGAGTCCTGTGGTGGTCTGGGTGATGCTAGCTGTAATAATAAGTTCATAAGTATAAGATATTTAATTTGGCGTAGTTGTTTGTAACCTTACCTTCTACGCGTTGTTGTTCGGGTGGACTCTTCTCGCAGACCTCTCTACCATGTCGCAGTAAACCTTTTCGTGCCGAGAATTTTTGCTGGCATCGAGGACATTCCCACTTGTCTGCAGTGCTGCGTAAAGCGGTTGCATTACATGGATGCTTGGATGCGGGCTCCCCATCCTTAAAGAACACAATGTTAAAGACTGATGCTTTCAACCTGAAGTGTTTGGACTGCAGTGACAGGTACGACTATGAGCACTTATATACAAGCATTTTCCCTCCTACCTCACTTTGACGGATTCTTTTGTTCGACTTTCACGATTTCTAGCATGAATTAACAGTCAAGATTTATTACTTCATTAAAGTTTACTGATCGCGTTTAAGTTTTAAATTTATTATCCAATGCTAATTTCGTGGCCCCGACTTTCATCCTTAAGAATATTACTACCCACCCATACTTTCTTTGTCCGTTATAGCATCATGACCTCGAATTCTCTCGACCTTGTGACGGAGGAGGAGAGCATCCTTATATACTCACTATAGTCGTCTTTCCATTCCGTCGCTCCCCAGTCATCGTCATGGATGATCAGGCTCCAAAGGATTTGTATATCTTCCATGAAGATGGATTTTCTAGTCCACTCCTCTTCGACAGCACAGCCTCTACCGTAATTGCGGGAGGTGCTGCACTCGATGTTGGCAATGCTTTGTTAGACGACGTTGTCGACATCGAGTCTGCCGACGAAGATGACAGGGAGAGCGCGGGGGAGGCATCTTCGTCCGAGAGCGATTCTGAGGTCGAGCTTGATGAGCTCCACGTCGGCCTTGCTCCTCTTGAGGTTGCCATTCCTGAAGCATTTCAGGATGACAATCTCGTGTGGGATCTGGACGATCCATCCAGCGATTCGGGGTGTATCAGCTCCTAATGTGTATTAGTTTTAAGGAGTTAGCTTTAAGGATTTAGTTTTAAGATTTTATTTGTAAGGTTGCAGGTTTTAAGGATTCTGTAAAGTATATTAGCTTTAAGATAATAACACCCAACCCAATTCACGTTTTTCACTCTAATTTCTCTTAAATGACCGATTTTTTAGCTATCTGTCTTGCTTCTACAACCTTACACTCATTATTCTCTTAACTTATCCACACATTTTTTTTCCTTCACTTACCTTCACACTCGATCTCCTTTTCCTCCTAACTTTCCCATTTTCTTTCTTCGGCTGCAATACACATGCTTGCCTCCCAGTGGAATGTTGTCACACTTACGTATACTATTCGATGCTATTCGCCTTTCGCAGTACAAGCACTTTGCTAAGTTCTTACTATGTATGTGGAGCTTATTCACATATCCGTCGTATATACTAAATAGGGCATACCTTGCTCCTATGATACACCTCTCACATACTATTGATCCCATCATTGTGGTACCGATGTAGTAATATTGCTGACAACGGTCTTCGCTCCATTCTACACCCCTCGCATAACTTTCTTGACACACGCTCCATTCTACATATGCATTACTTATTACACTTCTTTCATATATCAGTTCAGATGGATATCGCACTCTATATCCATCTTGCAGCTCACTCCATTTAATTAGGAATCCATTCCCTACTGACATTACTTCTATGGCGAGTCCCGGTTCCAACACCAATGATTTCGTCATCCGTTTCGAAGATCCACCCTATTTTATGGGGACGGTGTTGAGTACACGTTTAACAATAAACTAAAAATGTCTCGCCAGAACACCACCTACGAATCCAGCGAAACTCCTTTGCATGCTCCAACAGTTTCTCCGTTTGACAGACTAAACACCTACTTTTCTTCGGCAATATTATATTCTGCATCCCACTAGTACCGTACCATTTGCGCCACTTGCAACTACAGAACTGACTTCTCTCGGTGAGTTCTACAATTTAAGCATATATTTCCAAGGTCATCCCTTCTACATCTCAAGGTCGTTCACTCCTACAAGGTCACACCCACTCAAGGTCACTCGGAAACTCAAGGTCACACTTCAAGGGTATATTTCAAGGTCACTCGAAAACTCTAGGTCACACTTCAAGGTCAGTAGGAAACTCAAGGTCACGTTTCAAGGTCACCCTTAAAGGTCACATTTCAAGGTTGGCACCGAAGGTCGGCGCTCAAGGGCGTCCCAGAACATACAAACCCTATCTACTAAATTGGATTATGCATCGTTAATTTAGAACCCAATTTACAACTGCTACATTGATTCTCTTGAGTATATTCAGAGAAAGTTTCTAAAATTTTTATCTTTTAAAGTTTTTTATTGTCTAGGTTCCAAGTGCAGTCTTTAGAACTGAGAAGGAACTGTGCATCAATTATGTTCTTGCATAAACTACTGCACAATCAAATTGATGCTAATGAGATTGTGGCTCAAATAAACTTTAATGTTCCATCTATTCGAACTCGTACAGCTAAAACATTTTATTGCGACAGGTCTCGCACTAATTTCTTTTTGAAGGCACCCATATACAGGGTGACTTCGAAGTTGAGTCATTTATTTTAACAGTGAGTAGATCTGATCAAAAGAAATGTTTTTTTCCTTTACCATTTTTCTGGTAAAATTAAAGTAACAAAGTTATAGCCCTTTGGAAGTTTGAGTACCGCCCTGTCTTAATAATAATATTATGTGCTCGTGTTTGGCGACAACGGATATAATCCGCCGTATCGGTTCTTCGCATCGGAAACAAAAAAGCGAAAGAATTTGGAACGATGTTTTTACAGTTATTTTATTCATTTGTATACAGTCAGTGTCAGTGAATAGTGGTGTCTGTTGCGTGGCTCAAACGAAATAAAAAATGGCACATGTTTATGCGGATCGGTTTCCCAATCGAGTGCAACCAACCCCTGGTGCCTTTGTTAATGTAGTACAACGGGCTCGTGAATCAGGTGACGGCATGCCGGTGCTCCAAGACCTCACGATCAAATACAGGTCCGCACTGAAATACTTGTCGGGAGGATACTTTATAAAACAAGGTAAAATTTTTTTTTTATTTTTACACACATATTTTGGTTTATCTTCCTTCTACAATCATTATCTGAAAATTAACACATTGACTGCGAACTGGGATGAGGATACCCACCTCAGAAACTGAAATACTTTTTTCCTTTTTTTGGAAGCCGGCAGAGAGCGTCGAAAGACGCCGTTCGCCTCCCACCACAGGAGCGGAGGGCGTCTTTTGACGCTGTTCGCACTGAACGTGTTAATGACTCAACTTCAAAGTATGTGATGTGTGAAACTTTCAATCCAATATCAAATTATTGTGATATACATGCTGACAGTTTGAACAGCATTCTGGGAGTAGCTAGAAATTGCTTAGATAATTTACGATATGTTACTCACCTAGTGAAATATGTTTTTTGCTTCTTTTTCTTGTTTGTTTTTCTCTTTAGATGTTTTCTGTTCTTGTTATTTTGATTTATCTTACGATTGTCCTGTAAAAGGTTTCCTTAACTGTTTAGCAATAAACTCTATTTATATACGTAGTCGTGCCATAAGTTCTGTCCCATGATAATCTCATGATAAAAATGAAACAAGATAAGATATATTTATATGAAAGATATTATTTATTCGACAACATTTTTAGAATTCATAATCAAACAGTTTTATTCAAAATGTCCCCCCTTGGCCTTCACACACTGCTTCAATCTCGCGGGCCACTCATCTATCACTGCACGCACAGCTTCCAAAGGAATAGCTGCCGCTGATCGGATCAAATCCGCTTTCAGGGACTCGATATTACGGTGGGCTTTGGAGCAGGCCAACTGCTCTAGCAGGTCCCACAACTTGTAGTCTAAAGGATTGAGGTCCGGACTCTCTGAGGGCCAATCTTCCGCAGCAATGAACTCTGGCACATTGCTTTCCAGCCAGCGCTGCGTACTCTTAGCCTTGTGAGCGGGGGCGGAATCCTGCTGGTAGACCCAGTGTTGGTTGGCAAACAATGTACCACTTAAAGGCTTGACGATAGGATCCAGTATGTCGCTCTGATAGTTTGCCGCTTTTGTTTTCACGCCCTGTTTACAGAAATGGAGCTGAGTGACCCCTTCGTAGGACACCCCCCACCAAACCATGACTGACGCAGGGTGGTGGCCTCTCTCAACTCTCGGAATGATCTCCGAAGCTTCCTGTGAACTCCTTGCATACACTTTGTCATTTTGTCGGTTGAATTTTTCTTCTATGGTGAAGATTTTCTCATCCGTGAACAAAATCTTTCGGAATCCCCCAGCTGCGTACCTCTCCAAGAGCTTCTTGGATCTTGTCGCCCTGATGTGTCGCAAGGTGGCCGTAAGTCGCTGGCCCGTACGTCTCCGGTAAGCCCCTAGCCCTAGGTCTTGTTTAATGATGCGCGACATCGTCCGGACAGGAATCTTCATTTCCCTGGATAGGATCTTCTGCTTCCGGAGTGGATTCCTTTGAATCCTGGCTTTTACGGCTTTGATGGCTGCTGGAGTCCTTACTTGACGAGGTCTTCCGCTTCTTGGCCTGTCATCAACAGAGGACGTCTCATTGTACCGCTGAATGGTCCTAGACACAAATTTACGCGATATTTGAAGGCCGCGTAAGAGTTCAAAAATCTGACTAGCACTGTGATTACACTTATGTAAAGCTATCACTGCAATACGGTTCTCTGCCTTGCCCCACTCCATCGTTATGCTTCGAGAGATCAATACAAACTGAGGTATATGTAATTACCCGAAAAGCGCTTAATCAACTGACACCACAATGTAAACAATCGGACAAGTATTAACAGGTCTACACTTGTTTGAAAACGAGGGACAGAACTTATGGCATGACTACGTATAGTATTTATTTATTCGGAGTATTAACGTAAATTTTGTCCTGAAGTACCCCCGATGAAAAAACATACAAGTTAATTACGATGATCGAAGTAGTTATGTAACATCAACATCTGCAGCGCAAGAAGTTGATCCATACTGACCCTCGCAGTGTGGAAATGGCTTCGTCTTGTTTAACAGAGTCGGTTAATTGTACGTAGAATGTTAAGTTGGGGTTTCGAATAAATTTCCGAAATGCATCACTTGTTAAGCATCTCGGATTTTCAAAAAAAAATCGTTCGATTATTTGCTCTGGTGATACCACGATCGCCAGTTCTGACTCACATTGACTGTTCCTTGGTGAATCTCAAGTGCAATTTTGAATTATATATTGCTGACTTGTAGGAACATATGTATCCGTTGCCAAATAAGCAGTTAGCTGATGTGAAGATCTCTAAATATTTTGACCCAGCTTAAGCATGACTAAAAACCATCAGCGATTACTTAATCAACTACAAACGAGCGGCCTCACATACCGCTCACAGTTTGTAATTTTGGCGGTTTACTGCCTTAAAATCTCAAATGTATTAAAATGTATACAAAATCAATAAGCTTGATTAAATAATATTACATAATAAAAGTAACAACAGTAACAAAGAATTTCTTTATTAATTTGACCTTGAAATATATCGGTCCGTGAGACCACGCGTCTATGGATGTGTAGCAAAAGGTAAAGATAGTGGTATGAAACATTTTAAAACAAAAATACCTACTAACTCATCCCATTCATTCTGAATATTTTTACTTACAGGTAAACTCTTCCAAACAGATTCCTGAATCGGTACAGAAAGAGCTAGATAAAAGGCAAATAGGAGCTAGGTGGGTATCTCCATCTTAAAATTTCAACCTATACTATATATTTTAATAATCCTTGAAACAGTATATATAACTTTCGGCGTGTGGCATTAGCTTATATGATATTTTATCTTTTCAAATTAAATTTATATATTTCATATCACCTCTATTTTCAAGAAGTTATTGTTCTCTGATATGAAGAATAAGCTTTTTGAAAAGTATTTAGTATTAACTCGTTGTGGAGTAAATGACCACTATCTCTTTCAGAAATACAGCTAATCTCAAAGGAATCCGCAAGCCCTCAAGTAATGATGATAAGATACATGCACCAAAAATAGCACAAGTCAAAAATACAAACGCAAAGGATAAAAGGTACATACAAAAAATGTAATTAGTAATTCTAGAGCGAAACACGTCATAATGCACTTTTGTAGTACCCTAATTGGAAACGATGAATGTATGTTTATTTGGCACAATATGTTCACCTTGTCCACTTCAAAGAACCCTAAAAAATCACTATCCTTATACCGCATGCCATTTTTCTTTAAGTTGTAGAGGGGTTGAGTTCACCAGCAATGGGAGGTAATCTGGAAAACTCTAAGTAGATGGCACTAGTTAAGTTGACTGTCATGTCTAAAGTTATAAACATCTCACCTTTCCATCAAATCTGTCAAAATAATGCATACACTACAGAGCTGTCGAACTCGCAATCGTTGGTTTGTTTAATAGTTTGGCCTCCAACCGCACTAGCGCCACCTACTGGGAGCAAAACTGCTGCCATTGTATGCTTCTGGCTAACAGCGTACAAACACTGGAAAATCAATTCTTAAAATGTGTTTAATTATATTTAGCAAAGAATCTTAATTACGCAGGAGCGATGAAGAAAAGAAGACTGTTGAAGAAACTGACCCGATGAAGAGACGTTTTTCGGTAGCCAACCCGTTGATTAAGAATACGGACATGTTTGGAAGTGTTATATCGATTACCGATGATGAGGAGTTGAACTGATCAGTCAAACCAAAAGTTAATGTCTGATCAAAAGTGAACAATGGCATACATAGCGTTATCAAGGTTGTAGCTGCTACCGTGGAAACATTTCAGATCATATGTTCACCAGGTAACTGAATTTCGATCGTTAACATTAATTTCGATTACGTCTTCCCACCAAACATATAATCCGCTATGATAATTTTGACACCTCATTCTAGATGTCTCCTATTGAATATACAGTAATGGACAAAAGTATATAGACAAATTAATATTGTGCTGTACTTGTTTTTTAACTTGTTTTATTAATACACCAACCTGTATACATAATTCGTTATAGCATAATACTCACTTATACATAAATAAATTCATTAGACTCCCTTCAATGAAAAATTAATTGAAAAAAAACTGGAACTATGAAGGACAAAAATATATAGACAAAGCAAAACAATTATAGAAAAAAGAAGCAAAGTTCGTTGAATTATAGAACACCAACCATGTTTGTGTTAATATTTTGTAGCATAACCATTATTATCAATCACCGCCTGGCATCGTCTCGGCATAGATTGTAGAAGTTTCTTGATATAAGATTCATCAATTTGTCTTCACTTTTGCTCTAAAGCGGCAAAAAGTTCATCCTTGTTTGAATAATTTTTATCTTGTATTTGCTTATCTAAGCATTCTCATAGATGTTCAATGGGGTTTAATCGGGAGACTGTGAAGGCCATTTGAGAACTGGTATTTTTTCATCCAGAAAGAATTTCTTTGCGAGATTTGAAGTGTGCTTCGGGTCATTATCTTGCTGCAAGATTGATCTTAAGGGCATATTGTCTTCCATATAGGGTAACATGACATGCTTTAGTATGTCTGTGTATACAAACTTATCCATAATGCCATATATTCTATGTAAAGGTCCCATCCCAAACCACGAAAAGCACCCCCAAACCATAACATTTGGGGGGTGCAATCTTTGTCCACTAGGACGTCTAACGTAATGAACACCATCTGATCCAAGCATATTGAACTTGGATTTTGTGATTGTAATCGGTCCTTACGGTTTTTCCTCGAGAATAGCGGCTTCTTACTCGGGCAACGTGCAAATAACTTCAAATCATTTAATCTTCTACTTATAGTTTTCGTAGAAACATTGGCATTTCCTTTTGTCTCGATGTCGGCTTTTATTTGTCTTGGGGTTTTAAACGGATCTTTGGACGAAATTACTTCTATTAATCGAACTGATCCAGCATTTAATTTTCTAGGCTGACCACTTTTCTTAGAGGCTTCCAAGATACCTTTTTGTTTATATTTGTTCAATATTGCCCAAATTGCTTTACGCTTCAGCTTCAAATTTTTGGCAATGTCGACTTGACGTTGACCATCTTTGTATAACTCAATGATCTTAGCTTTCACATCGAAAGAAGTTTCTGGACCACGCGGCATGGTCTTAAAATCACTCAACTTATTCCACAACTTGATGAACACAAACTAATCCTTTTCTGACACGAAACTGTACTAAACTAATGTTGAAAAGAATTTGTCTACACATATTTTTCTCCCTCATAAAAAAGTGCTTATATTCAGACTTGTATTGTGTTCATTGCAGATAATGTAAAAACAAGGAATTTAGTTTTTCTACTAATAGCGCATTTGTTTATGGAGCAATGAAGTATGAATTCGTTTTCTAAAGGAATTTAGCTAAATATTCATATTTGTCTATATACTTTTGTTCATTACTGTATATAAACTGACATGTCGGTATCAAAATTATCATTGCGGATCAAATACATGACAAGGCGTCATCAAAATTATTTCAACGGTCGAAATTCAGTTAGAATCAGGTCCCCGATCCAAGAAACTTTAAAGCGAATTTGGTGGTTTTCCTGCGAAAAAATAAGCACTTATGTTTTTAGATTACGTTTTGAGTTCTCAAAAATAGAATCGCTTAGCTAAGACGTGGTATTGTCAGCTAGTTCTATCATAATATCTGTAATTTTGTATTTGTATAATATTCGAGTTAAAAATGTAGAAATACATATTAAATTTGGTGGACTCTGTAAATGCTGCTCGCTCAAAGGGGAGGTCAAATGGTATATCTAAACATTCGAAAATAACTAGTAACATGTAAGCTCCAGTTTGCCAATATTGACTCAATTGCAGACTTTTATTTTTTCTCTCCCTTTGGAATATTGCTAAATCGCATGTGGATAATTTATTGTAAACGCAGCACGTGAAGTTGTGCCTTTTATTTGCTGAAGATTGAAATATCAGCACTTGCAATACAATGCAATGGTCCAGCTGAATATACCCTATTTTAGTCTGTAAAGGTTATCGAAATCCAGTAATTTCTTATAAATTAAATTTGTGCTGTGTAGCGTTAGAGATCTGTTGAAATTTTGAATAAATTTTATTTTGACATTGCTTAATTGTTTTTCATATTATCCTCCATACAGTATTTTTCAGAAATATCCATTACGGTAGAATAATAGCTAATTATCTAGTGATATTTCAAAACTCCCCATATCAACATACGACATAATTAATTTTGAGGGATCCGCCAACGCCAGGTAGACAGATCAAATATTTTGTTGTGGTTTTTTGTACGCTACAGATTCATTTTGTACTTGCTAACATCTCTCTCATTTAGAAAAGCTCTTTGCATATAAAAAAACGCTACAAGCAAAATGGCTGCTAATGGTCATGACCACATTTTACGTAAGGCAGAAATAAAATAAGATAAACAGTTTTTGACTATGTTGATCATCTCTACTGTTCAGAACTTGAAACACCATATTTATGATTTTAAACGGCAATGAAGCAGCCATATAATTAATTCAGAATGCGTGGCAGTACGTGACCGAATTGATAGAGGTTCGATACCCAAGGACAAAAAAGCTTTGTAGTTTTTGAAAATCAGTCCAATAGCCGAGAAGAAAAATGCCAAAAACGAAACAAATAAGAACGTCGTTTTTCGACGATTCAGAGGGTCCTGACCAATTATAAAAAAGTTTTTAGGGTAAAATAATTGGAGATGAGAGGTTGCATGGGGGCGGGGGAGGGTGTATCACTATTTTTTGATGTTATTATATAAATACATTTCCAGCTCCGGTAATTCTACGCACCTATTAGAGATGCGACTTCAGTTTATTAGTAGATTTCAGATTTTAGCGATTTATTAGTTTGCGATGAATATCGTTCAGTGTTTCCTAATTTGACTCCTACTTTTGTTCAAAAGCAGGTAAAACTTTGCGCCAGCTGACGTGAAAATAGAGGGTAAATAAAACCAAAAACTGTTACCAAAATTATCTATCTTACATTATTTAACCTAACATTATGATTACCATTTTTAATGTAATCATGAATTTTCGTCAAACACGTGTAATGTGTATGTGTTTGTACCAACTTCGCATAACAAAGTTGGTGCAAAATCTAGAACGTTCAGCACTCGGGGAACCATAGTAGCTGCTTGAGCTACCATGGAACTCAGATTTTGTGCTAAAGGCGCTAGATAACTACATCTCTAAACTAAATCTATAATGGTAACAAGAAACTGACACTGTGGATTAACTTACTACAAAAATATATCTCTCTCAAAATAACACTTGCCTTGATACGCGAATCATACAAACAAACACGTCTTCACACTTGAAGACAGTTACACTTAACTCGTATTTCTTTATCGAAGAGGATTTAGTAATAGAAAATAATTCATTTTAATTCCCCCCCCTAAATAATTCGAAAACTATGAAACGTTTCAAAGCTGCAGGGCAACATGATGGTGACCATGACTATGCCCTTCAGGGGTAAGTAAATATTTTCAAATGGAAGCCCCTCTTTTACATCGGATTAGGAGACAGAAGGGAATTTTACGTCAAACTATACCGTGGCCATGACTTTTGAGGTGATTTCAAGGTCAAGTAGGTGTTTTCATATCTGTACCTGAGAGCCAGACTAGGTCAAGTCCATTTTTGTCAAAAATGAGTTTAATATGTTAAGCTTATGATAATATTGTGAATTTTCATTTGCTGCATGCAGATTCCATCTATCTGTAATAATAAGGAAGTTACGACCATCTAACTCATAACAAGTCATTCAATAAAATGCAAGAAAAATATTTCAAATACAATTATCTCAAAACTACTTATTTGGACTTAACCTAGTCTGGTTCTGAGGTACAGATATGGATCCCCCTTTTTACACCGAAATTGGAAATAGGATGATATTTTACGTCCGATATGATCTTGACCATGAATATGACATTCAAGGTCATGACAACATTTTTAAAGACAACCCTAATATTTATAACAGAATGGGAAGAATGTTGCCTACACCACGAGCTCAAGGTCAAAATCAAGACGATTTCAAGGTCAAATCAAGACATTGAAAACAATTTACTAGAAACAAAGATTTTTGACAACACAGTTGTGACGTTTGCGGGGCCCCCACATGTGACCTTGGTCATTACATGCAAGGCTAACCCAACATTTCAAAGAAAACCCCTCATCTGTATTCTGGAATTGAAAGAAAACAGGAAATTTTACGGCCGTATGTGGATGCAAATTAATAAAGTAACTATGATAAAGGTTAAAGATCCACTCTGGGCATTAGGATTGACTGACGTGTACCACATGAAGCCTATAGAATGGGGGTTCATACTTCATTGGCCCTGAATAGGGGGGATTTAGGCTTTGGCCATGGAAAGGGCCGAATCAAAATATCTCACATTAGACGTTCAAATATTTGTCATGTCAAGCTCGGTACCAAAAACATCTGATTTTCGTGCTAGGAGACGCTAGTGTGGAGCTTCGCATATGGTGGTAATGACCCAACAACGTTTTTCTCCTGATTTTTCATCTCTTCACATGAATCAACTTTTCGCTAGCATAGCAATAAAACTGGACAACTTTCAACCAGAAGTCAATCGGTTTCAAGGAATGAACCGAGTCGTGACCGTGTGATCAGTCCACGACCCTCGCTGCCTGACTTTCCATTCCTCAGTTCAGCCAAGCCACGAAAGCACGTCACGCTGTCGGCTGTTCACTCTGTGAGAACGTAGCCTGAAGGAACCCGGCAGAAGTTTTTATTTCCTTTTCCCTTCTCTTCTGCTCAATTTGAGTGCACCTTATGTGCTCTCCAGACTCACGCGCGGATCACGGCGTGAAATCGCGGCGCGGATCGCGGTGCGAATACCTACAGTTCCACACTCGCAGATGTTCGCGCCTGCTTCGCAGTATAGTTCGCGTTCTTGACGAGTATGGATGGTGAAATTGCTACTGTTGCTGGCAACTGAAACACCAGCGAATGAGGAGCCTTGTCATGTTCGCGCCTTGCGAACTCTTTGTCGCGGGACAAAAAACTGCCAACAAACGGGAACAACGCGCGAACGCGACGTGAGGCCGAGAAGAATACGCGAATGGGATCCACACTCATGGGTCGCGGGTAATTCGCGGCTTCGCGCGTGAGTCTGGAGAGGGCATTAAAAGTTGCTGCTCGGCCACGAGATCTCTTGTTCGTACCGTTTTTTAGGTAACAGATAGATTTGTAAAAGAGATATATAGATAATAGTATTGAAACTTAGTGAGGTACTGTTATCGTCGTGAGGCGTTTCTAGGGTCACTACCGTATGTAAGATTTTGTCATTCTCTGAATAACTGACATAGAAAAGCTATAAAAATAGCAAAAACCCATTGAAAACTGAATCATCTAACATTGAAGTCATACTACTGGATCATATATCAAGGCAAGACTTGTTTTGTTACAGTAAGTACTGAATCAAAAACACATGCAATAACTGTAGGTTAATACAATTTTAATACTAAACTACTCATATCTGTAGTGTATATCGTACTTTGAAAGTTTGTCTCATTTGAAAATAAAATTGTTCATTCCGAAAGGTACTAGTTCAATTCTAAAACAAATGTGCTCAGTGGCGTAGCGAGGGGCTGGTTGGCGCCGGGTGGCATACGGAAAGAGGCGGCGGCAAGCGCAACCATTTTTAAAATCATAAATCGAAAAATCCTATTTCAAATCCCAAATAGCACCCGCGCTGATAATGCCACTGAGATTATTAATATGGGTTGAAAAACGAAATTATTCATAATTAGACAGCAAGCAAGAAAGCTAGTTAAACTTGATCAACTGCTGGAAGCTATAGAACTCCATGACTAAGTAAGTATATAGAAACTAAGATCGTGCAAAATATCTATTTTTAGAATAAGGATAGACAAAATATTAGTTTGTCAACCTTTTTGGTTATGAGGAATTGCAAGTGAAGCGGACAACAGAGAACAAAAAAAATGAGGTTTTAGAATACGTTCATATTGGACAATTTGAACATCTACATAAAAAGTTTGACAGAGAAAAGACGATTTTTGCTTCTTGTGATGCTTACTGGCTAGATGCTCTTAAAAAATATCCGTAATTGAAACTGATATTTTTGTGTGTCGAATTGAAGAGATTGAGATATTAAATATAGAATTGCCAAGAAGTACGAAATAGCTGTCCATGGTTGGCCATCCATGGTCGGACGGAAGAAAGCTATTTTCCCAATTAAATATAGTTTTATACCGGGTCTTTCAAATTCGACTCCCACCATTGGGATCTCAGAGACGGTTACAGATATGAAGTGGGTTAAATGAGAGCATAGTTGCGCACTACGGAAATAGCACATTCGCATTTCTTAGTGTTTACGGATTTTCCCAAAATCGTCTTCATTTTTCCCTGTAGATTAGAGTAATTGAATGCAATATGTCTGCATCGGTTTAGATAAGGTGGGTATAAAAAAGTTTAATCATTATGTTATCCTTTTGTTCGATGAGTTAGGACCAACTATACGAAAACAACTTTTTTTAGTCATTTTAAGTTTTATATCAATCCATCTCATAATCTGCCAAATGTCACCTCAGTAAAATTGGAAATAGGGACTGTTTACATATGCCTGATTCATGAGAACTGAAGCAATGCTTGTCTGATGATACAAAACAAATGACATTCTGATAAATTTAAAGAATACTTCGGAAATTCTGTTTCTATAAATATCCAATGTTTGGCAAAGTTAATATATTAACATGTCTATGACTTTTACATTATACATTTTGCAATTAAAATTAAATCTGAATTCAAATGTGCAATAATCCAATATGGAATCTACAGAAAAAATGTTGACTGAGAACAAAAGACGTAACGCCATTTTGTAATTAAAATCATGTCATCTTGTAAAGGAGGGAAAGTGAGAATATTAACGTTTTATTTTGAAATCGCATCTCAAGTTGAGTAAGGAAAAAATGAAAATGATTTTGTAAAAATTCTGTTTCTTTCGTCGATCTCCAGAAATACTCGGAATTGTGAAACTTTCTATGTGCGATTTCCCTAGTTCCTGAACTTCAGTATCTGAGAGTCGAATTTGAAACACCTGCTATAGGAAATTTTCTGTACTTTTAGAAGAAAAATTCAAATTTGAAATTAAAGAAAGAATTACGGTTCAATACCAGAAGTAAATATTTCCATCCAAAATTTATATGACTTATTTGACTATTACATTTTAAAGTTTTGACGCTAAAATACAGCTCAAGCTGTGTTGAAAATACATTAGATGTTTTAAAATAGGAAAAGCATTAAGAGGATACGTAAGTACACACATGTCTCACTGGTATGACGTCATGCACATGTTTGGGTCGAAGATTTTGCTATGAAAAAAAAAACACGAAAAGTACATTTTTAATTGATTAGTGAATTTGAAGATGCTTTGACTTTGCTAACTTTCTACTGATAATTAAAATAGGAGTGGACGACCAACTTTGTATTTTCCCCAGGCAGCGAAAACCCACGCTACGCCACTTGTATATAAATTGTTGTCTATTAGAAATATCATATACATCATTAAGTATATCATTTTTATTTCCGTGAATATAATGGACATGGTCGTCCGATTATTTGATTCTACGGAATGGTCGAGGATTGCCCTTAAAAATTCATTACCACTTTCCATTCTCCATTACTTTCCCAATGAACCATCTAAGTACTCTACCAAATGCCTTAGCATACAAAATTCAGTAAAAGGAAAAACAACTTATCACAATTATTGAGCTCTGAAGAATAAGAGTTTGATTTTCTGTCTGAGAAGAGCAAATGAGTGATTCAACATATCCCTTGTGCTTCAGTGAAACAATTATCTCTATACATCTGGGCCTTTGGAGTACGTCAAAACTATTTTGGGAAATCAGTGTTTCAGATTAGGACGATTTTATCAGAACCACAATTTTCCTTCCAGTACATCTAGATCACAGAAAATATTCCTTGCTGAAAGAGAAAACATTAGTTCAAGTCACACAGCCTTTTCAGACTAACTTACATATTTTTTACTAAACACAGTGAAGTCAACTCGACATTTCCGCTCCATTCTGATAAAAGCATCCAATAAGCTACCCTATAGTACATAGGACGAATCAAACCATATATACCATATTTGGGTGGGGTGGAATGTTTTTTTAATCTTGAGTTGTAATAGCCACGCAAAGATGAAGTAAGACATTTCTGGAATTTGGTATTTTAGTTGAGATTTCTAAGACGACAATTAAAGAATATTCCTGTTATTCAACGCATTGTCTTCGCACATCCGGAAAACGTGCTCTTATCTATGCTATCTAACGGACAGAAACGCATAAGAGAACTCGCCGCTAGGCGCATTCAAAAGGCAAGATCAGCTGCAGATTCTAAACAGATTCGAGTATTTGAAGCGACAAAAATATTCTCAGCCATCTACATTGAGCCATGTTTCAGACGACGTATTCATACATTAGTAAAAAGGTCATGATGAGTCAAGCGGTTGAGTCAGGACTAAAGACAGTCACTAAGGGTACGAACATAGTGGAGCGACGAGGTTTCAGATTCAGATAGAGGCTAACCGCGCGGTTTGCCGCTATGTGAGTCAAAAACACAGGTTGAAACCTGTCGGGCCATAGTAGCGCGATAAGGCATGCGTCGAGTCTCTAGGAGGTTTCGAGCGACGAGTTTTAAATAGTTGCATTCAATTTTTGTCACGCGTTTTCAAGCGATTTAATAATGGATGTTGTGCAATTAATAAATAGTGTATATCACAGAAGGGCTATATGGGATCAGAGTCATCCAGATCATCGCAACCGATACGTGCTAGATAAGTTATGGGAGGAGGTAGCCAATGAATGCAATAATCAGTCGGGTAAGTAAATAATTGTATTTTATACACATTTCAACAGCTAGAACTTACATCTTGCGGTAAAATTTTAAGCTGTCTCGTAACTGATTGGAAAGAAATTAACATAGTTACAGAAAATGTCGCGAACTCTTTGACCTTCACCCAGTTGCCTTCCTCTAGGTAATTCAAACATCTGATCTCTAGGAACTGCATCAGTTACTAATGTTAAATGTCGTTGAAATCCCTCTCGGTCCAGTATTGTATTATGCAAAATGCATATCGCCTTAATGATATCATCCGCAGTCTTTTCAGTAGTCTCTATAGCTTTGGACAGAAGACGCCACTTCGCGTACATAATTCCAAAGGTGCACTCGATAGTTTTGCGTGCTCTGGACAATCTTTGGTTAAAATTTATATGTTCCAAAGAGCGGTTCCTTCGATTGTATGGTTTTAGCAAATTGGGCATTAGTGGATACGCTTCATCTGCAATAAATACGTAGGGAGCGCGGACATTTGTTCCTGGTAAACTATCTGGATTTGGCACATTTAGTTTGTTTTGGTGTATCCGTTTGTACAAATTGGAACTCTGAAACGTTCCCCCATCGCTCTGTTTGCCGTAACCTCCGACATCTATCACAAGCAATTTGTAATTTGCGTCGCAAACTCCTTGTAGGACGATAGAAAAATAATGCTTATAATTGAAGTACATGGATCCGGAATGTTGTGGTGCTATAACTTTGACGTGTTTGCCGTCAACAGCTCCGATGCAATTGGGGAAGTTCCATACTTTCATGAAGTCTGCACTTACATTTAAAAATGTTGCCGTAGTAGGTTCTGGCATGTGAAGTGGTTGCAGCATGTTCCATAATATTTTAATCATATGTTTTATAATGCTCGCAACAGTACTCCTGCCCATTCGAAAGGAAAATGCCAAGTGTCTAAAGGACGCTCCTGTTGCAAGATATCTGAAAATTTTTGTTTGTTGCAGTTAAGAAAGTTTCTGAGAAGTGGAAAAATCTACGTGATTATTTCAGAAAAGAACTGAAGAAAATACCTCTGCCCCGGTCTGGTGATTCAGGCGAAGAGGCTCTTAAAAAGAGCTCCTGGCCTCATTTCAAAAGTTTATTGTTTCTGAGAGACCAGTTTCTGCCGAGATCCAGTCATAGCAACCTGTTGGATCCCGACAATGACACACAAGTTTCGACACCCTCTACGCAGATGGATGAAAATGATGGTGACTATGACGAAGACGAAATGGACGAAACGCAGGGTGTAGAAACGCAGGAAACAGAACCCGACCACACAGAATCAGTCACTCCAATTCAAAGCACACCAAAAGAACCACGAACTATTCTAAAGAATAGGGCCCGAAAACGGTCAAATCAACTTGACGCTTTTCTTGAGATAGAGAAGAAAAAACTACAATATTTAGATGAGAAACGTGTCGCTGCAGACCGTGGCAGAGCCCTACCAGTCACAGATGACGATAAACTGTTTTTTGATAGCCTTTTGCCCCACGTGGTGAAAATTAGGCCTCATCGAAAACTTCAGTTCCGCAATGAAATTCAAAATTTGGTTCAGAAGTATGCCTATGAAGAGTACTCGAACAATCAGTCCACCATCAATGTCAGTCATTCTGTTAATCATAGCCCGACATATACATCTCAACCACAAACATCGTTTGCACATTCATCCCATTTGTTGCAGGGGTTTAATTACGCAGATCAGTAAACATTATAAGTTATTATAAGTTATCGTTCGTTGTGTTCAGAAGACAGAATATTATTTTGCGTTACCGTTTGTTTGTTTATGAATAATAAAAGTATTATCCTTAATACATAATATTCTCTTACCGAATTGTTACCACCAACATTTCTTCGGTTCCTATAGGCGCTTGATTAAAATTTGTCCATTTCTTGTTGATGCAGGGTGTAACTTGTTCTAATATATACTGAAAGGTGGCAAGTTCCATTCGAATGTAGTCAAATAGCCTGTCGGGATAATTTTTCAGTTCTAGAAATAAATGATGGAATTCCCCTAGGCGTTTCCGACTTTTATTTACGTCGTGCACACTACACTGCCGCACTCCAGTCATTAAAAGCACTTGCAGGTAAGTATTATTGAGAAGAATGTCATCGTCACTGTCGGAATACATATTTTTACGTCTATCTTCGACAAAACGCGACGCTCTACTATAACCATAGGTGCCTCTTGCCTCTACGCTCTAGACGCTACCAGATATCTGAATCTGAAACCTCGTCGCTCCACTATGTTCGTACCGTAAGTCATCCTGAAGAGTATCTTTTGATAAAAAATAAAATTCATTCTCAGAAACAAATGCCCCAGTTTGAAAGTAAGAAAGAATTTAAAGTTACTTAAATGGCTTTTTGTATTTTTCGAATAAATGTGTAATAATTTCAATATAAATATATGTTTATTTTGAAAATTATTAGTTTCTTCTTGATATGTTTTTGTCCTTTTGAGTGATATAAGAATAGCCTTTTCCACGTATGTACAATGACAATGGTGGCGGAAACGTCATACAACAGAGAGAGATTGAAACATATATGGTTTGATCCAACCCTACAATGCAGCCATATGAACATAAAAACCACAGGATAAGTTTCAGAACTTGCATTTCCCCATAGCACATACTGTTATTATAAAGGTGGGAATTCTTTATCTGAATCCAGGTCATATGTGTCTTCTTTGGGCTTCTTCCTCCATGGACTGCTAGTATTTCCTTTGAAAAACCTTGGAGAGCATGTGGTCTTATCCCTCCAATTATCAGGTCCATTACTCCTCCACCATGGATCGTAAATAGAATCTGAGCTGCTGGATGATTTGAGCGCATTAGTGCTACTTCCAAGACAGAATTCTAAAACAGAAACCCCGATTTATGCTATGTCAATGTCGCAAAAAATAATTTCTTAAATTTTCATAAAAATGCACCTAGGAAAACCGATCTTCAGCACAGCTGCTACTTATACCTACACACGAAGGGGCCCTTCTCTTTATTCACTTTCTAGTAATACTCTAATTTTAGCACAAACTGTCGACATTGCCCGTTATTTGTATTTCCAGGCTATACTATATTTTATAACAGACATCCACAAGAGGTGAACTCAAATCACATTCCCATGACAGGAGAGTTATCACACAGACAGGGTCAAGCATAGTTGCAGAACATTCATACCTTAAAACAAAATTTCGAGGCGGTGAGACAAAAGTAAACAACGTAGGCATGTCTCTGATCTTACAAAAATAAACGTCGATACTTAAAAGTAGACGACTCACGCAGTTTTACCGTGACCCGCCAAAAATAAGGACAAAACACGAAATAATTTCATGCAATGACCATAAAAGATTTTTATATGGATCTGTGTCAGTATAGCCTATGTATTGTCTTGAATTATTGCATATAATGGCCAGACCAAATAATCTTGCAGAGCACATAGGAAATACATCATAACTTTGATGGCTGCATATAAAATTACATAGCCCAACGGAATTATGTAGCTTTTTTAATTTTTTTTAGTAAAAACTCCAAAATGTAATACACAAAGTGAAATAAAAAAATAAGGAGTATGTCCATCTAATGATTAATTTGTCTTAACACGTTCGCTGCGACCTGCCTCGCGCCGCGCGCACGGTAGCGGCTGAACGATTTTAGGCGCCCGACAAGCGAAGCGCGGATTCGCGTCGTAAGCCTATTGGATGTGCGTTATGTAATTGAAAACTATTTCATATATACATTTTCTTCTTCTATCTCGTTTTTTTCTTCGCGCAGTAACACGAAACATGTCTTGAAACCCTATTAAAGATGTTTCTTTAATTAATTTCAGAACACCACAGTCTTGTGAGTTTATATCAGCCAGAAGCGCGGATCCGCGCCCGCCGCCTTTCGTTAAACATCGGTCGGACGCGGATCAGCGTCGTTCGCAGTGAACGTGTTAATGGGTGATGTTGTTTGTACCAATCTTATTTCTGTAAAAAAAAAATAAAAAAAAACTAAAAGCGTTCACGTTCTTAGAATTCTTTTAAAAACTACTCTAGTTTATACCGATTCTAACGGTATGCCAAGTCACAAAAAAGTTGAAAGAATTTCTTGAATTTGCAAATTTTGTGTACAGGGTCAATTTTTTTCGGTCGGATAATAACAATGAATTTTTGTTTCTGTTGTGTAATTTACACATACAAAATAACTCAAGTGAAAACTTTTGAGCGGGTAATCGACAGGGACGACGTGGGTCCATTTTTCCATCGAGGTTCGTCCCTGCTGGCTGCCTAATTCCAAAACACTTATCGACGCTTACGAGAAACCGGTTTTTTTTGATTGCAGGTCTTGAAAACAATGACTTCGACAACCGAGTCCGGTTTTGTCGTTTCTTGCTGCACACAGACGTGGACGATGCGGACTTTTAGACAAGTATTCTGTGGACGGATGAGTCCAAGCTCTTTTCAGAGAAGATTCAGTGTGAATGTTTGGGCAGAAGTGTGATTGGGCCACATTATTTGCCAGATCGTCTTAACGGAGATAATTATCTACATTTTCTGCAAAATAAGTTGCCCCAATTGGTGAATGAGGTGCCAATTTTCAATGGCGACAGACGAATTGTGTTCCAACATGATGGCTGTCCTGTACTCTGGAGCCTAGTTGTGCGGGAACATCTAATGATGTTTTTCCGAATGCGTGGATTGGACGAGATGGTCCTATTCCATGGCCTGCACGCTCCCCAGACCTAACTCCATTGGATTTTTACATCTGGGGACGTTCAAAAGCACTCGTCTACACGACAGAAGTTGGAACAAGGGAGCAGCTGATCCGAAGAATAGAAGAGGCGTTTGGTACGATTCGGGAAGAAATTCGCCTACGTACGACAACCGTCGATATAAGACAAAGGTGTCGTGCATGCATACGCAATAGAGGACAACGATTTGAATAAGATTTGTGAAACAGAAAAAATAATAAATGATTGAAATTTGATTTTACGCGTTTTTTTATTTTCCTTCCCTAGTACACAAAATTTGCAAATTCAATAAGTCAGTTAAACTTTTTGTGACTTGTGGCATACCGTTAGAATCGGGATAAACTAGAGTAGTTTTTAAAAGAATTCTAAGAACGTGAACGCTTTTAGTTTTTTTTACAGAAATTCAAAATTGAGACTTACATTTTTTTGTTCTTCTTTGTAACCCTTTGTGAGTTTATAAATAAAAAACTACATGCTGCTGACAAGTAATTTTGATTTTGTAAGATTGGTACATCACCCATTAAGATAAATTAATCATTAGGTAGGCATACTCTTCATTTTTTTTTATTTCACTTTGTGTATTACATTTTGGAGTTTTTACTAAAAAAAATTAAAAAATCTACATAATTAATTCCGGGCTAAAAACTGTTTGAGGACCTGGGGTGATAGAAAAAGACCTCCTCTGTCTGCCATTTCAATTTGGCAAACGATGCACCAAACACCCTGTATAATAGCCGTGCTGATCACCATACTTGTCACTTGTATACTTTCTAATAGCGCACCCGTGAACGCATAGCCACAGCAAACAGCTCAAGTGTATTGACAATTAGGAAACACACACCATTACTACAAGTGAATGCCAGCTGGTTCCAAAGTATCATTTTGCAGAGTGCCTTCCCCAGTTCAGAATTTTTCCAAGCTTTCAGAGTACGCGGGAATATAGGGAAAATCATGTTTCCTTCAATTGCATCTTTTCTTGTCAGGCACAGTGTGTATTGCTTACCTTTCACTGTACTACTTGCACAAGGTTGATTGGCTGCCAAGTTGCCATTTTCCTTTCCATTTGGCATTGTCGATTGCAGATTTTGGATTGATTGTGATTTTTTAGGAGGCGACTGTTCATTTTTATCTTTCTCCACTGACTTCTTCTTAGCCTTCCTCATTATAACGCTGAGTGGTAAAGGTTTTGTCTGCTCGTCATTTTCTGACTCTCTGATTGTCATCTTTTCGTCAATTTGTGGTACAGAAATTACCTTTTTGGGTGAGGATTTTGTTGATGATGTACTAGATTTAACGGAGAAATTAGTTGGTGTTGAAGATCTGTGGATTAATAAACGTTCAATAAATGATCGGATAAGCTACATACATTTGAAGTAAACATGATTGTGAGGATAAAAAGAGTATGGGAGTAAAACAGAAGCTTTTCTTCATATTTCAATGATCAATGATCTCTAGACTCAAAATTCTATATAGGTTTGGCGGTCCCCAAGGAAATCCAATGCAGGGAGGGCCCCTGTAGTAGCTGGAAGAACAAAATAACGCCTCCCTATGTATAACCACTGTGACAGTGCCTTTTCACTTTCAATTTAAAATTGCAAACATACTTATATTTCTTGAAAATTATATGTATGACTCAACCACTTGTTATTTCTTACCTGGAAACATCTGAATGAGGTTGTAGACAGATGACACTTGAACAAGAGCTTTGAATCTGAGGTGATGTTCTACTGCTTGAAGGCTGACTGGTTGAGCAGTCTAACTGCACACTATGATTTGATTCAGTGGCATTTACAAGTAAGCTTTCATCAGGCTTGTTGTTTAAACGCTTGTACTTTGAATACAACATTTCATCATAGCCAACATGTCCCACTTCCTATTTGAAATAAATTAATAATGGTGATAGATGTTTTTTGATTTTAAAACAAATGAAAATTGAAATTTAAACGCAAAAGGATCCCCAAATAGGTCCGGTTAACTAGCAAAAAACGCATAGATGGTTTTAACAATGGAAATATATCCTTAAGGTTTTCTTTCTAGTGATACATAAAATTCTGCTGGATGTCAAAACGTCAAAATTAGAAAAACCACTTCTTCACGTATACAGTTGACTCGCGATATAGTGAACATGAAGTACTCAAAATAGTGAACAGACAATATTTTGAACCAATAGCTTTTGTTCGTAAACCAGCACGTCGAAACAGGGAAACGATTTTAATATTTTCTTTTGTGTAATTGGATCACAGCAGTCTATTGCAGATTTTGATTGATCAGGCCGTTACACAAGTAAAGTCTGTTAAAAAAATAGGAAACATGATAAGAGTTCAGGTATTAGAGAACTTAAAGAAATGCATCGCAGTGACTGTTTTATCCAAAGAATATGGTGTTGCCAAATCTATGATATGCACTATTCGAAGCAGAAGGGTAAATAAATATTTTAGAAAGAGTCAATAATACTTATAACAGGCCAGGAAAAATGAAAACCTTAAAACGAATAATTAAGAAATGAAATGGTCCAAAAAGGGTTTATGAGACAAAACATATAGAGATCCCCTGAACTGGTTGTGCATTAATTAGTTCACTATATTACGAGTCTACTGTATTCAATAAACTATGAAGTAAAATCAATCAACTTCAAAAAAATTAGTGGCAAATACATTTTTTTGAAATTGTTGAGCTTTTTTGCTAATTCTTTTCTGGCTGGTTCACATCAAAGGATTCCAGTTCTGGTAGATATTTCATATTTTCAGTATTACACTTTTTGGTGGGAAATACATTTGAAACAGGAGACTATTTGGAATAAATAAAAAAATAACTAAATAAGGCCTCATTCTGATAGTATTTTCATGTCTCGTAACTTTCCTTAAATCAGTTTTACCAATACTTCACGCAGATTTTTTAATAATGAGAAAAAGTGGTTTTGTCAAGTTTGATGGTTAATAAAAAAAGTTACCCAGCAAAAGTTTTTGTTTTTCTACCTAAAGAAACTTTTCATTAGCATTCAATAAAATATTTTACTTGTGAAATTTGTCTATTTTGTTTTTTTTTTGAAATTCTAAAATACCAATTTAAACATAATTAAGACTTTCCTATTTAGTAATTCATTTAATAGGGCACCAAGTAATAAAATAATAATAATACCGAAATAAAATGTTCATAATGTTTATTTCATCTATTTTGTATACAAGCTTGTTCTGCATTATTATTACTCAAGAATGATTGTAATTTGTATCAATAAAAAACCCCCATACTCCAACTCTGCTACTCGATGCTTTCCAAATTCATAATAATTTTTAATATAGTAGTAGTCACAAGATTTATTTAGGACGTTTGGCTATGTAAACCGAATATTTGCAAGCAACTTAGAATCAGTAAATTTAAGCCATGGGATATAAATGCTGGGCAAGCTATAATTCTGGATTTAACAAGTGATTCCTCAATTTTACTTTGCATTTTGTCAAAGTTTTCTGGTCTTTTATTGCTGTATACTGTCTTTTAAGTTTTGCATATAGAAACGTAGTAGACCGCGCGGATCGAACGTCAGTACTGAATCTTAACCTCACTCTTTAGTAAACTTAAATTCAAAGTTTCACAACAATACGTCCAGTGTTCTCACTACAGTGAATTTTTACGTGTCATCAGAAAGATGGAACTCAACCGAGAACATTTTCGCGCCATAATTTATTACAACTTTCAGAGACAATATCGTAACAAGAATGCCTTACTGAGTTACTGTCTGTTTTCGGCAACGAAGCGCCACATCAGTCGACAATTTCCTGTTGGTATGGAGAATTCAAACGTGGACGGGTATGTCTTAGCGACAATCCCAGGGTGGGTGCACCAAAAACGGCAGTCACCCAGGAAATCGTCGATGCTGTGCGCAAACTTATCATTGAAGATAGTCATGTGACATATCGCGAGATTGAGGCGTCCTTGAAGATCTCAAAGACCTCAATTCAAAAAAGTTTACATGAAGAATTAGGAGTAAGAAAATTAGTTTCTCGTTGGATACCCCACCTGTTGACAGAAGAGCAGAAAGCAGCCAGGGTTAATTGGTGTCAAAAAACGCTTGACCGTTTCAATTCCGGAAACTCAAAAAATGTGTACAGCATTATTAGTGGTGATGAATCGTGGATTTACTGTTATGAACCAGAAAATAAACGACAGTCGGCTGTTTAGGTGTTCCAAGGTGAAGAAAAGCCAACAAAAGTCATCCGTTCTCGAAGTATTACGAAAAAGATGGTCGCGACATTTGTGTCAAAAGCGGGTCATATTGCAACAATTCCTCTTAATGAGCAAAGCGGATTGGTATATCACCATTTGTTTGCCAAAAGTCACCAAGACAATACAAGCTCGCACACAGCCCAAAAAACAAGGCAGTATTTAACGGAAGAAAACGTGGAATTATTGGAGCATCTTCCATATAGTCACGATCTAAGTCCAGACTGCGTGGTCAAAGGTTCCAGTCACCAGAAGAAGCAGTTGACGCATTCAAAAGTGCCGTTTTGGATCTGCCATCAAACTAGTGGAATAAGTGCTTCTAAAATTTATTAGAGCGCATGCAGATGTATATTAATCTTCGTGGAGAATACTTAGAAAAACAATAAAGTCATTTAAAACTACCTGCCGTGTTGTTTTATTTCCATATGCAAAACTTAAAAGACATCCCTCATATAATTTATTATATTCAATCAACCCTTCATAGAATACAGATTTGTAGCATATGTTATACTTTTTGGCCACTAAATGGAAGTCTTCTTTATTTCTGGGATTATGCAAATGATGGTAAGCATTTGATGTTAAATTAATTAGACATGGTGGAAATATATTATTTTTTACTTTATAAATGAATATCATTACAAGATAATAATAATAATAATAATAATAATAATAAATAATAATAAAGTTTATTGCAAAAGAAAGAGTATAGCAGTAGTAGATGAAAGACAATATTATACAATAAACGAATGGACCCAAAAAAGTTTCGCAGAAACTTGTGCTTAGGCATGAGCTCATGTATAAATAACTTAAGACTAAAAAAAAAACATAAAAAAAAATATATGTATATAAAATTCATTAGACAAGTCCTGGTAAAATTTTTAAAAAGACACAATCGGGACGGAGACGCAAAATCGGGACGTAGACGCAATCGGGATAGAGACAATATTGAAACAAAAGGCAATATTAGGTGAATAGACAAGAACAAAAATTGGTAAAAATAAATCATAAAATGCAATAATTCAGGGGTAAGAATTCAAATCAGTTTGATTTATAAATTTTTTTTTTCATTTTGAACTTTCAAATATCTAGAGAGATTTCCGCTTTCAGTAGTAGTAGATATTTTTGATATCAATCGCTTGATGAATCTTGAGCCTGTGCTGGTCCAAAATCCACAGTCGTAGATGCCTTTTTTTTTTATACTCCAACTACCACGAAGGCCTGAGGCCTAAGCACCCATTGGGTACCGTGGGGCTATGGGGGATACATGGGAAAGGGGGGACGCCACACGGACTCTGGCGAGGGAACACGTGTGCATGCAACATGCACACATTCTGGCTCCGCTTACGAGAACCGCCGGGTGGTACCTCCGCGTTCGACAGTCAGAGACCATCTACCACCTACGGACAATCACAACATCCATGGCCAAGAGAAACATTTCTCCTGGAGACGGGAATCGAACCCGCACAGCGCACGGCGACTGATCAGGAGACCGAAGAGTCTACTACTGCGGCCACCGCTGCTGCCTAAAACAAACACACAACATCCATGGCGAAGGCGAGATTCGAACTCGCGGCCCGACCGGCCGGCTGATCAATAGCACGACACTCTGACCCACGCGGCTAACCGAGGTCCCATCTTTAAGCGCAAGTTTCATGTGAAGTATCCGACGAGGACGTAGAGGGGGACTCCGGAAGCCAGAAGGTTTCTGGTACAGGAACGTCTCAGTTACGGAAGAGGGCTCCGGCGCCGGAGTCTTTGGGCCTAGAACTAGCTCACTTTGCCTCCCGGCCATTGCACCACTATTTTACAGGCGGAAATGTATACGATACTGGCTTGCATATCCCGCATTTTGGAGAGGGAAGAGCTTAGGAGAAGAATAACAATCTTTTTCGACATTACTTCGAGCCTTGTATTGTAATGCAGGGAGGCATCCCAGAATTTCCCTAAAAAATTTAAATTTTGGTATAAGACATCTTAATCTGTTCGTTAAGCTATCTATTTGTTTGTCCCATTTTAGGTGGCTGTCTATTATGATTCCTAGGTATTATATATGATTTGCTGGCTTTAGGACCACTACTTCATCTATGGGTGGTAATTTGATGTGTATGTTATTGAATGTGGGACTGTTCCTATCATCACATAAAAAAGTCAGATATAAAGTTTTTTCATAATTGATTGTTAATATTTTATTATTGAAGAAGCTTATAATGACTCTGAAATCCTCTTCAATAAGAGTCTTTAAGATATCCCAAAATTTTTCGCTATAAAAAACAGCCGTATCATCTGCGAACCCGATAATTTTACCGTGTGTGTGTAGGTTAAAAAGATCATTTACATATAGGTTGAACAGGATAGGTCCTAAGACTGTACCTTGTGGGATACCGTATGTTACATGATGCAAGTCGCTGATGGAATTATTAACTTTTACACATTGATTCCTATCTGAAAGGTAGCTTTTGAGTAAAGTATGTGTTTTGCCACGAAATCCTAGATTCTCCAAAGTAGTTAGTAATTCTTTGTGTTCAACTGTATCAAATGCCTTCTTTAAATCTATAAAGACACAGGCCGATGGGTTTCCTAAGTCTAGACTGGTATACACGTTTTCCATCAAAACTGCAATTGCATCTTGTGTGGATTTTCCTTCTTGGAAACCAT